TTTTTTAATTTAAGTTTTCATAGATCACTTAGCTATGGGGCGACTGGATATGTGTTTTGATCGGTTTTAACCGTTGAATTATTTCATATCGAATCATCTAATTTAAAATTCAACTAAAACCCAACTCTCATATTTGTTATAAATATAATAAATAATATCAATCAATCATTCACAAACATTACGTTCAATTTAATTCATTGTATCTACGCCCACATAATTTTAATGATTTATCACTCCATATAATATTTCTCATAGATTTTCATCACAATAATTTTAATCATTATATTTTTAATGTTATTTAATTTAAAAGTAAAAACCACCAAATCAATTTACTCTATTCAAAGTAACTCACTTTAACCAATTAAATTGAATCGTAATTGATTTGATCACATTGGATCGCCTCCTTAAAGTTTAAGTTCAACTCGTTCCAAGTCGTTCAGATGAGATTGAGTTGAACCCAAATTAGTTCACACTCCTCTATCCATTTAGATTTATTTAAAAGGAAATCGAAAATAGAAGAAAGATATTTCTGAGTGTTCACACTTGACATGATTTCATATGCACAGTAAAATTTTAGATGAGAAAAAGATTTTATTGGATAATATTTATTATACAAAATATTTTAATAAAAATCCCTCTCGAGCCCGAGTAAAAATGCTATAGGTATATAATATTATACATACTACATAGGGTGACATTCACATTGCGTGAGACCCACCAAAAATAAAAAAAATCAAGTAGACACCACTCCATGTGAGTGTTATGAATACATCTATATATTTATTGTAGCATTTTTCAATTTCTTTTTCCCGTGCTTCTACTTCATTTAATTTTTATATTTCTTGTGGAATTTTAATTAGAAAAAAGTTGTTAATTTATTACATAGCATAATTGTTATTAGAAAAATATCAAATTTCTCATGTCTCCATTAATATTAATGTCAATTTATAGCCTATGGGTCAACTTATATGGTATTTCATATGTCAATTTATGTAAATATGGACCATCCATGAAATTTATTATGTCTCCACTAATATTGGTGTCAAATTTTTCTAACCTATGTGTCAACTTATATATGGTATTTTGTATGCTAATTTATGTAAATATGGACCATCCATGCATAGTAGAACTTTTGAAATTATATAAACAATACTAAATTATATGATAAATATATTTCCAAAGTTTGTATTTAGTGTCACTATTCTTTTCATATATGATATATGGAATAATTATTTCTCGAAGAATTTCGATTTGACATATATATTGAATATAATAAATAAGATAAAAGGTAAAGTATATATTGAACCAAGTACTTCTCTTTTAAAAAGTATATAAAATTACTTAACTTGATTTATTTTACTTGTTTGAATTTATTAGGCAATAGGTGGAGAAGCAAAAGCATACCAACTTGGGGAGACAAAGTACTATTTGGTGGTGGTTTTCAGTGGCATAATATGGCAATGTTTTTTCTTGGGAGCCATTGGTGTGATTTTCTACTCGTCTTCCTTATTATCCGGCGTAATTATGGCTGTCTTTCTCCCGGTAACCGAAGTTTTAGCGGTTTTTTTCTACAACGAGAAGTTCCAATCCGAGAAGGGCATCTCTCTGTTTCTTTCTCTATGGGGATTTATTTCGTACCTTTATGGCGACATGAAAAAAAACAAAAACGAGAATAATAACATCAGCATCAACAATAATGTTCACGACGAGAATCATAATAACATGATCAACGGTCAGAAAGATCCGACACAAGGAGAGACCCAATTGGCTATTCAAATTATTAATACTACTACCCCTTGATTAATTTTAAGTTTTTTAAAAAGAAATTGTGGTATAATGCCAATATTTAATATGCACTAATTAATTATATATATATTGTATAATTAATTATATATAGTTTGTGTTTCTGGTTTTGTTTGGCTGCCAAAAATATGTCATGCAGCAGTGTTTGTTATATCATCCTGTGGTTGTTAGTTATACTTATTCAAGGGACAACCTTTGTGTACGTGCGTGTGAGAAACGTATGCGCAATTACTATATGTATTTGTGGAGCAATTATATATATATATTGCCAAA